TGGTCTTGGGAAGAGAAGCGTGTAGCTATCCGGGGACCCTTCACACGGCCAGAAAAAGCGTGCACTAGCGAGGTCCCGGCGGCGGGGGAGTTTTGCCTTCCGTCCGAACGCGGCTTCTTTTGTTACGCGAAGGAAGGAGCCTGGGTTTGGTAACCCGGGTCAAGCGCCCGTGTGAACGCGGCTGTAGTGGCGCGTCTCCTGCTCTGGGGCAGGGGCTCCTCAGCCTCCGCCCCCCCCGGCCCGCCTCTTTACCTCCAGCCGTGGCCATGGACGCCCAGATTAAAGCCCAGGCCGGCAGCGCCCACCGGCAGCGCCCGGGACCCATCGTCGTCGTCTCTCCTGCCCGCTCGCCCTTCTGGGCCCGCGGGGGGAACCCCGACGCTCCGCGCCCACCTGGGCCCCGCCTCTGGGGCCGGCCAGCCAATCCGCTCCCCTTGCGCGCCCTGGTCACCTGTTGCCAAGGGGAAGCCCGGGAGTTTCGGTCCCGAAGTGGAGATGGTGCAGCTGGGCTGGAAAAGAGTAGGGTAGAAGAATAGAATAGAATAGACTAAAGATAGAATAGAATAGAATAGAATAAGAATAGAATATAATTAATATAATTAATATAATATAATATAATATAATATAATATAATATAATATAATATAATATAATATAATATAATATAATATAATATAATAATATAATATAATATAATATAATATAATATTATAATATAATATAATATAATATAATAATATAATAATATAATAATATAATATAATATAATAAATATAATAAATAATAGAATAGAATAGAATAGAATAGAATAGAATAGAATAGAATAGAATAGAAAAAGGAATGGAATGGAATAGAATAGAATAGAATAGAAAAAGGAATAGAATAGAATAGAAAAGAAAAGAAAAAGGAATAGAATAGAATAGAATAATAGAATAGAATAGAATAATAGAATAGAATAGGAATGGAATAGAATATAGAATAGAATAGAATAAAGATAATAGAATAATAATAATAATAATAATAATAATAATAATAATAATAATAATAATAATAATAATAGTGATAAAGTTGGAAGGGATCTTGGAGGTCATCTAGTCCAACCTCCTGCTCAGGCAGGAAACCCTATACCATTTTGGACAAATGGCTGTCCAGTTTCTTCTTAATAGAATAGAATAATAGAATAGAATAGAATAGAATAGAGCAGAATAGAATAGAATAGAATAGAATAGAATAAATAGAATAGAATAATAGAATAGAATAGAATAAATAGAATAGAATAGAATAGAACAGAATAAAGATAGAATAGAATAGAATAAATAGAACAGAATATAGAATATAATAATAGAATAGAACAGAACAGAAAATAATAGAATAGAATAATAGAATAGAATAATAGAATAGAATAAATAGAATAGGAATGAAATAGAATAGAATAGAATAGAATAGGAATAGAATAGAGCTGGAAGGGACCTTGGAGGTCTTCTAGTCCATCCCCCTGCCCAAGCAGGAGAACCTATAGTACTGTTGGAAACGTGATTAAAATACCAACAAAATTGGATTGGTAAGAAAAAGAGTTTATTCTGCAGAAAATAGAAAAGCAGTTTGCAAAGTGCGGTGGATCCTGGTGAGAGACTTCAACAGGAAGTTCTAATCCCAGAGACCACACCAAAATATTCAAACTCACATCATTATATACACTCCTATCGCGACGCCCCCAT